AGTTTTATTAGTAACAAGAGAATATTGCAGGCTTTCATTCATATAAAAAATAGGAAAAAAGGGGCAAGACAGAGAGAGAGATACAGAGAGTGGGGAGAAATGGAAAGATAATTGCCTCTGCAGCACCAATCATCACCTAATGCCCCTGGGAAGGATCATTATGGAGTCTGGCTGTTTCTGGTTTGATGGAGGGATTATAATCACTAAAATAAACGTGCAGAGAGTGAGAGAATGCACATTTTCGGCAGCTATCTACCTATGATCCTCAGCTTCACACACACACACACACACACACATATACACACACACAGCCACACAAACCACTTACCCACATAGCCCGATCCAGGCAGACACAAACATCTGTCTCTGTCTGTCAAAAAAAAGTCAAGTGTGCAGCATCAACCTCAACGTGTCCAATTTCCTGATTTAAAGAATGCTAAGTACGTGTGCATGGTCAGAAATTTTATATACAGTTTGGGTAAAGCGTACAGACTGTGGGAACAAGCTAAGAGTGAATGAGTGTCTACTTCTTTGTCCACAGATTTAAAAAATCTACAATCCTTCTAAATAGGGGTGAAGGGAGTGTATAGAGCGTCGCTGATGCCTGCCCGTTACAGATAAAAGAGAAATGAAAGGCCAGTGTGAAGGCTTGAAGTGAACATTTCCGATGTGTGTTTTCTCTGTGTTTGTGAAGTGCAGCGTGGCGCGATGGAGACGATGGAGCGGAGAGATGCTATCACTTCATCCCACATAAACTCCCCTGGATGGACGGGGGAGAAGGAGCAATGAGGGAAGGCCCTGTTTGTTTGTGTTTACCCTCGGAGCATGCAGTGTTCCTGATGGACCCGCAGATAAGCGGAGGGAGAGACTGAGCGGGGCAAGGCGAGCGAGATAGCGGCCACAATGCAACCAGACTGCTGAGCATACACATTATACAGAATGCATACTGGATTTATAACACATCTACATCATAGATAGTGAGCAAGAATATGTGTGTCTATTGTTACCAATAGGGCCGACAACATGCGGTCGGTCGGTCGATTGTTTGGTCGATATGCTCATGTCCGGCCAAAATCTCCTCGGTTGGACAATCGGCCGTGTTACTTTAATAAGGAGATAATGCTTCTTAATCTGTCATTTCTGGGGGTGAGGAACATATGCAGTGTTTGTTTTTCTCAACGAATGTGGTTTTATTCTAATAATCTCACGGTTTAGTAGACAACCTATAAATCAGGAAGACAAAATACCCCCATTTTCACAACTCCAACACTTACTCAGCCCGAAACTAACTGACACAATGTCAAATAACCAGCAAAAATCTCTACATTGACCTTCAGCCTCAGAAGACAGAAGAACTGAGTGGATAAAGTTTATTTTCGATGGCAACATGTGTGTGCATTTTACTATGGAGGGCTAATTACAGGGGATTATGGACTGATAAGTTTACTGGCTGTCTGTGAACCGACTTCAAACTTGGAAGCTGTACGTTTTGCCACGTTTATGTTGTGTTAGTATCAGTTTTGATGTTTATCCTGCTGAACTTTGCTTCAGCATGTTACTAAGCGGCTACTGTCACAGACTAACGTTGTAATATTGAGGGACAGTCGAAAGAAACTGTGTGAACGTTAACCTACATTTGAAGTCAGATGACAGTAACGTTTGTTTCGTGTCGCTTTTTCTCGAGCTGCATCACTTTATATTGCATTTTTGTCTTTGTTCTGTTTGCTCTGTGATCCTCATTGTGATCATTGCGTGCATGTGTGTTGATGTTGTAAATGTATTTAATAGACATGTCCGAAGGTAACGGTATTGCTACTTGGGGAAAAAAAGAAATGGTCAAACTGCAGGAATTCATTTTCTTGGCAATGGAGGTAGAGACGGAGAGCACTCACCAACCAAGAGTGAAGTGAAGTGTAGGTAGAATTACAGTCGACCACGATTTTTTTGTGGTTGACTACAGCCCTAGTTGCTAATATTTTTTACATATTTCTGCTGTATTCAATCATACTGTTCTTAATATGTGTTATATCGTATTATATTAAGTACAGCATTTGTGCTGTCAGACAGGCCTCTCAGGTTTTTTTTTAATCTCCTTGCTTATTTGTTCAACATTTTGTTCAACTGTATATTTGTATATGGATGAAAGCCCAGCGGATAAGCTGATCAAAGATAAACGGTATTGACATACATGTTGACTGATAAGAACTAAACAACAGAGAGGAAATTGCAGTACAGAAATGCCAAAGTTTTGACAGTTTTGCCATGACATAGTTCAAAAACCAGGAAGCACTTTCAAGTTTATTTTCCAACTGTGAAATGTAACGGTCATAGCACATCTGATGTAAATGTAAAGGATTATTATTTAAAATGTTTATTTATGTTATGGGTTTATGTTAAAACAAGACCAAGAGTCTACAGCCATACAAGCAGCTCTGTGAGGCTGTTCTTATGCACATGCTCACAATCATAATGTTTAGCAGGCATAATGTTTGTTCTGTCCACCATCTTAGTTTAGCATGTTAGCATGTTAACATTTGCTGATTAGCACTAAAAACTAAGTATAAAACCACTGGGTTGGACAAACTGAGATTTTTACCCGATGGTGGCGCTAAGTAAATAGTCATGGGGTAACCATCCATTTGTTTTTAAGATAAACTAAAGCGGTGGACCAACCAACAGACATCCATAGTAACATTGGGGGTAGCGTGGCTTACCAGATATTAGTATCAGTCGGGTCTTGATACAGATGGATAATCTCTCTCTCTGACCAATATATGATAATACATGGAATTACATCAATAACTGTACATCAAGAATCTCTCTGCTGTCTGACTTGACTCCCACCTCTTTACTTTTCCCATCTGAACCATTATGCCACCGCTCCCGGCTGGCGTATGTAGTTGATTTCTGCTGGACTAAACGCCTGTCTCTTCCACTTAGGACTGACTACTGAGATGCACAGAGGGAGGGAGGGTGAGAGGCATGAAAGACTGAAAACAGGGCTCTCTCTGCACAGAAGAGCAGAATTATACAGAGAGAGGGGAGTGAGAAGAAATGTAGAGCGCGATAAAGGAAGGGGATGAGATAATACTTTCTTGCTGAGAAGAAAAGAGGTGAGGAGGAAAGAAGAGGAGAGAAGAGGGCAGGATAAATGAGTACAGTATGAGTCAATCCACCATCTCTGGGATGAAGAGGTGATGAAGAGCTCAACTGGAGGCCAAGGAATGTACACATGTGCACACATAGACACATATTCAAACCTGTGATAAAGAGTGTGGATGTCCATCAGTCATGCCATCTTTCCTCATCTCACCCGCCACCGTCTGCTTCTGGATGTTAGGAGACTTGATTTGCCTTCAGAAAGAGAAAGTTGGGTGATAACAAATGAAGAGATGCTTAATAATGTATCTGACACAATATAACCATGGTATGTATCCTGTATGAAAACATGTATGCACATACCCAAAGGCACAATATACAATGGCCACATTGTCCTATTTTAAATCCATTGTTCTTAACCAACCCTGTGGATTTGCGGTGATTTTGTTGGCGAGTGTTTTTTATTCAATGTAGTACTGAAATTCAAAATATAAAATGTAATATATATATATATAATGTTGTTATACCCATATTTTTTTTTTTAATATTTAAAACAAGGTCTGCATTTTGCATCATACAGGTGAATGGCATGGCTTCGGTGTGTACAGTAAAGCAAAGAAGTACTGTGGGTATGTCTAGTCTTAGTAACAAGGCAGACAAGACGAGACTTGACCGATGGAGCTGAGACACTGCTGTGTAAATCTTTCAACAACAAAACACACAAACACATGCAGACAGGAGAGTGAGCACATGCACGCACACAAACACACATTCTCAAAAATAGATATGTGCAAGAGTGAAGTCAACAGATAAGAAGACGCTGAAGAAGATGAGACACACACACACACACACACACACACAAGGGCATGTGTTTTTATAAAATAAATTGGCACACGTCTAATAGACACTGCCAGAAACACACACATAGGATAATAAATCTGCTGTCAGTGTTGTGCATTTCTGAGGTACTGATTACAGAGCTAAACCATGTATTAACCAGCAAGGATGACTGTGTATTTACCTCCACACTAAGACCTGCTTGTCATTTACCGAACTTACTTAGCCAGAGAACTATGACACAAACACAAACACACACACACACACACGCACCTAAATATATTCTAGCAATATGAATTAACCCACACCCAAACACTTACATTTACTGGTAGACACACATGAACCCGCAAAACCCCTGCACCATAAGACACACACTGCTGCACTTATACACAATCTATATCTTCTCACAAACACTCTTAAAATAGAATAAAAACACACTCTTTGAGCTCCCAGTTTGGCCTTCACATTTAAAAAAAAATGCACAGAAAGTGTGAAAAAGCTGACAGTGACAAATTAGCGCTTAAGAGAACCCTCCAACACTGTAAACAGGCTGTGACCAAGCAGCTGCTAAAACGCGCCACATTATTATTCCATATCCACACTGGTGTGTTTACTCTGGGAAAAACCTACAAGCTGCCCCCACATACGGGCAAATATTTGCTGTCACAGCCCTTAGAATGTTGTGTGCGCCTATGTGTGTGTCAGCTTTTATGAGTGATGTTGGTGTGCAATTAATGTGAAACATACCTAACAAGATGATAAATAAATTTAATACACACTTTTCCACACACACACACACACATTCACAATACTGTGTCTTTGAGGAGATAACTCTTATAATATGAGAAGACAGAGCAGGACCGGATACTTTATGTCAGTATTTATATTTAACACACACACACAGACACACAGACACACACACACACACACACACACACCGCACTGGTCAGTTTATTAGGCCTGTCGTTTCATTTCTTTTTTTAATGACTCTGCTGTTGATTTTATAAGTTATCTTTATAATTTTTACAAGAGGGTTTTTAAAAGTGCTACATAAGATTATCAATGAATTCTGTTACCATTATGAATGAAGTGTGTACATATTTACACAGTGAGGAGGAGGAGGAGACGAATCTGTTTATACACCGATCTTTGATGTCTCTGTGTGTGTTTTCATAAACTCAGAGGCATGTCCATGGAGAACAAACTTGCCATGAGGGCATATCAGCTATCACACACAGCTGCTACTGGTACAGGTGTATAAACCAGCAGACACGCTGGTCGCTTCTGATAGCTGATATACCCCCATTAACCCATCGGTGCAAAATAAAGTGTTTTGACCAGTGTGAAGGCAAATGAGGGCACGCAGAGTGTGAATAAAGAGCAGACGGGCTGGGCTGCATGAGAATGGAAAATATGAAGGAGAGCTGTGATTTGTTGATTGCCGAAATGAGTAAATTCATGGGGGGAAAATAGTATTTTATTGCCGTGACATTTCTAAGAAAGATGAAGTGAGAGAGAGAGCAGTGTGCATGAATCCAGCCATTTCCTAAACCGAGCGTAATAAGTAATTTTTCACATTTCCTCTTGCTTCTTTCACCTGGAGCACACCACGCATCCGCCTTCCAACATAAGCAGCTCCGCTTTATTTCTGGCCGTCAAAGCATAGTTTTTGGGGCTTTTTTTTACCATGGATATTTTATCTTTGTACATATTTCTATCATTCTTTCTTTATCTTTTCTACTTTCTTTTCCATTATCCCTTTAACATTCTTTTCCTGTTTTTCTCTTCTTGTTTGTCTCTCGTGTTTTGTCTCTTAGACCTCGGGAGAGAACCGAGAAAAATAAAATGAATGAATGGTCCTCTAACATCCCTCAAGGGTTACTGCGTGCCCTTGAGCAAGGCACAAAGAATAACTGAATGGCTCCAGCAGAGCTGCTGAGTGGTCAACAGCAGGAAGCTGTGGTCAAACTGTGAATATTAAGCAGGTTGTTCCTGGAAAAGAGTATGCATTCTCAGTTGACTTTTCCTGGGTAAATAAAGGTCAAAAGGAGTAATAACCTCTTAAGGGGGAAAAAACAGATTTTTATCTCCCCTTCATAACACTTAATTCTTACTCTGCCTCTTCCTCCTCTCTTTTAATAAACAGCAGAGAGGAACAAAATCCTCTAATTTCCAGCAGAGAGGGACACACCGGGGCAGTTACTACTCAGGGTTACACAATATATGGGATAACAAGGAGATATGATCTGAATGAAATATATTTTCTCTGTAGTTCAAAAGAAGGAGGGGTACAGGAAAAGGAGAAGAAACTGGGGGCTTGAGAAGTGTAGCGTGGAGCAGTTGGATCAACACTGGAGTGTGAAGTTTTATCTGACGCACTTGTCTAGATGCAGTGCTGAGAGATCCAAACAGAACAAGTCTGTTTATTAATGATAGATGCTTTATGGTGCTTAGACATGTCTTATCGCAACACAAATACAGTTTCACTGTTGCTTTAATATATTGTCTGTGTGCGTGTGACAGGGTAAAACAGAAAGGAGGTTAAAAAGGAAAAAGGGTTTGCGTGTCTACATGTTTAAATGTGAGAAAATGTATTGTCTATGTATTTTATATTTGTGTTATGAAATATCTCTTTTCTGCTGCAGGTGCAGCTTGTCTATATTTCCATAAAACAGAAAGCTGACAGGTCATTTTTATGGCTAAAAAGGCAATTTAGAGTGTATGGACACCTGCAAGGACACACAGAAATGCACAGTTTACAAACATTTTCATGCAGAAATATTATATACAAAGACTTTGGAGCCTACGTGTGCATTGGTGCATATGCATACAGTGTTTGTGCTTTCATAAGACTGATACTCTCAACATCTGGAGTTTGATTATGGTCACAGGAATAAAGCCAAAAAAATTATATGTGTGTGTTTATGTGTTTGTGAGTGTATGAATATTGTGTCAGACAACAACCACAGATTCCTACCAGCCAACAGACCCTTGCCAGCTCCACTACCAACATGTATTCTCCTCAGTCTCACCCTAGACACACACGTACACACTCACACATACTGTATGTACACATACATGTACTGTATACACACACCTCCCTTTTCCTGAAACCCTCCCTTACATACCAGAGTGCTTACCACGTCAATAGCTGTGATATGGGGAGACTGGGAGGATGATTTATTTCTCAAAGTTTAGCTCCCACATCACCGCAGAAACATTAAAAGTACAGGACTGTAACAGCATTAAGAAGAAGAATTCCACTAGTTAACAATATATAGCCATTTAGATAGGAGTGAAGGAAAAAGAAGGCTTTATATTTACCCAACATTTTAAAAAAAAAGTTACGTATAACTTAAATCTCAAATTTATGAAACTGCAGATGCTTGAATGCAACAACCTCTTATACACGTACACCCATATGTAGGGATGGGTCTTGCGAATTAGCATCTGCTATAAACATTATGAAAATGGCATCGGATATATGTTTTCAGCCTGTCTATGTTTAATGAACCTGTCTGTATCAAATAAACCATAAATAAATAAATAATACTCCTGATGTTTGAGGTTAATAAAAATTGGTCATGTTTCAAACAGACCTTTCACTGCACTCACACTGCACCTTTAGACATTTAATACCATGTTACCAAATACATAAATTGAAGAAATATGATACAGGGCAAACACTCAAAGTGCTACTTAATTAAATGTATAGAGGGAAGATGAGAATGCTTTACTCAAATTAGTATGTCATATTATGAAATGGATTCATTTTTTCCATTTAAGTCCATTATATCTGCGCAAACTGCTCCAAGTGATGAGTAACCATGGCTTTCTGTGCTCTACTTAACAAATCAGCTTTATTGTTAACAGATACAGACACTTTCCACAAAGCTTGTTTGGTATCTCTGATCACTTAGACAGATTAGTTAGAAATTACACCTACACACATAAAACACCAACAATAAACTACCTAATGTTATCTCTGATGACTTACAGTAGATCACTAGGAGATCTAAGCTATAAAAAAGCTATGAGTGTGTCTCCCCTGTGCTGGAAGGTATTTATTACAATGACCTGCTGGCTACATTCATCTTTGACTCTCTCTGCGGCGTTGCCAACTGGATGAGAAAGTGTCTATTTCCTCATCTGTTCTCCTCTCTCTCCATCCAGATAGTGGTTAATAGGCCATCTGACCGAGTTCCAACAGAAACACTCTGATTAAAAAGACATTCATCCTCTGCCCAGACACATCCCGCAGAGTCTTGCACAGAAGTCCAATCAGCACACAGAGACACTCGTCCGCCCATGCTGTCACATAACACATGTGCACAGACACATACGTGTAAAAAGACTTGTGTGAATTTAAGTTTAATGTCTTTGATAAATCTGAATTTCCACTGATAATGTAACCACAATAACTTGATGCCTCACTATTCTCTACAGTAGCCATACATACTTGAAGTACGTGGTTATAAACAATTCTTATGGTATTCTATTCTATCTGTTTACAGCAGCAGTGTATGGCTGCAGCGGACCCTCCTGTGATAACCTGCAACCGACCTGCCTGTGACTCCTGACCAGTACGTGCTGACCAGAGGTGAGGGGTCAGACCGATGGGAGTGACTGGCTGACACTAATGAGACAGCAGCCCCGATAAGATGGATGAGCTGAAGGGAAAGAAACTCTTCCAACTCTTCATCCAAAACACTCCTGTCTCACTAATGGCTGTGTACACACGTGCACAGAAACTAAACGCACAGATTAAAACACGGACATGTGCATACTAAGACACATGTAGAGGTGGAGGTGTGACGCATGTACACACACATGGAAACAGAGAGTAGACTGTGTGAACAAACTCTGCGGGAGCTACTGTATCCCTATTATACTTGATGCTCATGCGTTCCCACACTGTTTGAGTCAGCAGGCAGTTTCCATGCCAGAGTGGAGAGTCTGTAAAACAGGTAATGAATGAGGCAGGAAACTTATTGGATCCAGTACATGCAGCCCATCCAGATACATTCTTAAACCATTCAGGACCATAGCTCGCGTTAACACACCGGATGGGCCAACGTGTGTTAAAAAGTTGTTCTTTCACATACTTTTTTCACACTCATGGCTTCTTCTGTGCTACTGGCGATCCACCAACAGAGAAACCTCGCACTATCAATCTACGTTAACAGACACGCCGACTAGCGCAAGTAACTATAACTGCTCCAAGTTCGGATATACACTATATACAGAAATGCATACAAAAACATGCCTCTGTCTTTGCTTCTTTTTCACACATGCACGCACACAAAATAAATATACACGCAAACACTCACATACAGTGCCTCTGCTTTGGCACTTAACAACCTCTCATTTGGGTACATATACACACCATGCCAATCCATAAATCAGATGATAATTGAGTAGCACTGTGCCAGTAATAAACAGAGTAGTATAAACAGCCAGTGTCTGGGCTGGATACACCACCTCCCACTGGCATGCTGCTGGCTGGCTGCCTGGCAAACTCAAAAACACACACGCGCGCGCACACACACACACACTCGCTGTATGCCTTTACAGTGATTCAAATACAGAAACAAAACCACTTATCTGTTTACAGGCGCATATGTGAAAGCACAGTACAATAGGAGGAAAAACACACATGATTGCACTCATGGTAGTAATGAAATGTGAAGAAGCCTTGCAGAAGTCAACACAACAGAGAAGCTATATGTCTCCGGTGACATAAGTCAGGAAAACATATAAAGTCTCTCATTGCGTTGTTGCTGTGACAGGCATGAGGACTAGGATTGTTTGCTGTAAATGCAATTTACATTTACTGTCCCGCTGGGATAGTCCAATCTGAGTTTCCTGGTAATTTCCAACTTTATACCTGGGAAAGTTTCAAATCAAACCAAGTCATGGCATGATGTCAAGAGTGACGGCTATGGACAGTGTTGCAGGTATTATGATGGTATGTTTAACAGGCAAACCAAGAACTACTTACCCAGGTCTGCAGACATTGATACATGGGAACAAATGATACAACATTAGCCAAATTATAAAAAACAACACATGTACATAGGTCATTTCTAGAGTGTGATTACATCAGGCAAAAAGCATGACAGCGTGGAAGTGGTTTCAAGTGCTGGGAGGACAGAATCTAGACAGTTTATGTCTCGTGGATTACTCCTTTATAAATAGAGCACTTAGGAATGAATTGAGATCTTACAAAGATCCGGTCACTTGGAAAGACACTGCTCTCTGAGGACACCCACATGCTGTCCTGTGGTGGTTATGAATGTCACTGAATTTTTGACCCTCACCTCTCAAGATCAGCAATTTTCTTCTCCTTGCACGATTTCTCCATCTCAGCATCCCTCAGGGCTGCCTTTAGCCTCTCCACCTCCGCTTGTGACTTCCCAGATTCCTCTCTGTTGCGGGCCACTTCCTGCTCCAGAAGCCTCAGACGATCTGTGATGTCTGGACAATTCCGCACTACTTCTTCTGTGTTTTGGGTCTTTGGAGGGGAGACAGGACACACAGGAGTGGTGGATACATTAGGTACAAAGCCACTTTATACTAATGTCAAATACATATACAGTGGCCAGTTTACATCTCATACTCAGCTTATTAAAAGCTGCTCCTTTTTTAGGACAATTGTCAGACTTAACTAAACTTTCAGTTTAAACTTTAGATTTGTCACACTTCGAAATCCATTAGCCTTAGCAAAATGCTGGCGGCAAATTGAATAACACCTTCTTCTCATGAACTAGCGACAGATCTGTTTTATATAATTTGAGCAACATAACAATTACTTACTTACTTACTTAAAG